TGAAGACACGTGCTCAGATGTGACAGACACACCCACACCTAGCCCTTGTCTTGCGAGTCTCCCAAGCCTGTGTATTTTGGACAAAGATTGTTGAACTCAGCAGCCCTCAGCCCCCGACCTTTCTTGGGGAATATTTGGTATCAGAGACCAATGCCCTACCCCCAGGCCCCCATGCTCACCTTGGAAATTTGCCTCCACATAAATACACTCGGAGGGGTGGTGTGCAGGTATTCTAAGTGTCCAGCCCTGTGCCTTTATTTTTAAGCAGGTACAGAGAAAAGTGCCTCTCAACGTGTTTATCTAGGAATTGATTCTTTTTCTATATCAAACCTGTTCATTTAAATGGAAATTAATTGCTTTTTTTGAAGGTTTCTTTAAAAATTAGTTTTAAATGAGTGCATTAGGCAGTCCCATTTATTATTCATTGGTTTCCTTCACAATATGGCCCCAATGTCCCAAGTTCCCGGAGATGCCAGCACGGAGCAGAGATGATTTAATCAGGGAGGCCATTAATTAGAGCTGGGGAGATCAGGAGGGGTTCCTCCCAGAGGAGGTTCCCGTAGCCTCTGGCTTTAGCCAGGTGGGGGTGGGGTCTGGGCCGGTGGGGCTGTTTACATAATGTTTGTGCTCAGGATTCGGTGGGGGACAGGGAGTTGTGGTGGACGGCACTGCCTTTGCTCCCCACCACCGGCCCCAGAAGTCACTCTCCCCATTGTCCTTGCAGTCCATCTCACCCAGGCCACCAGGGATCTGGCTAAAATAAAGCCTTCACCTTGTTCTTCCCCTTCTGTGACATCACAGCCTCCCCATTAGTATTATCACCAAAGCTCCTGAGGATTTGGCCTCAGCTTAACTTCAATGTCTTCCCCACTCCCTCTTACACCCCTTCCTGTCTGATACTTCCTAGCTTTGCTTGTCCCTTCCCCTCCAGGAGCTGTGGTCCCCATGTCAGGCCCATAACCACCCAAGCCCCTTCCAGGTGAGTGGGCTCCAGGTGTGAGTGTGTTGAACTGAAAGCACCCAGTGCACCTTCAGGCTGTGTCTAGCCTTTTGTTATTAACTCAGAACAGATGCGACTCATACAAAATGATTCTGAAGTTACAAAGCAAAAAGAAAAGGAAAAATTCTGTGCCTTACCCAATCATTACCCAAATTCATAAAAGCAGCTAAATTGTTAAAATCCCATTTAAAAAGTTGCCAGACTTTTCGGCAATGCACCAGAGTGATCAATGAGTGAAAAAAACAGTGATGGAGAATATTCATTTGAGGCCAGTTTTCATTGTGATAGAATTCTCGGGTGTTTGGATCAAATTGCTTAAACAAATTGTTTTCGATCGTAATAACTTTGCCTATCTTCCCAAAGGGCTCGCCTGCCATGCCCCGCTCCCACCCCAACACTGGTCTTGCCTGCCCCGGTTCACAAAGCTTGCTGTATGGGACAAGGGGGTCCAGTAGAGATGGCTCTCCAGGCTCGGATTTAGCCTCCACCACCGTCTCCTCTGCCCTTTCTGGACACACAGAGCAACTGAAGCATCAAATGTCAAAGGTCCCGTTTATTTCCAGCAACCCAAAAGGAAAGGTGTAAATAAAAAGAAAAAGAAATAGATCCATGCACTCAACTCCTTGGGAGCAGGAAGAGGGAGGGGTGCAGAGAGAGGGAGAGGGGAATGGGTGGGAATCAAGAGAGAGAGGAGGGAGGGACAACACACAGGCAGAGACAGGGAAAGAGTGGGAGAGTCAGATCGATAAAAAGACAGAGGGACATCAATAAAAAGGCAGAACAGCAAAGGCCTGGAGTATCAAAATCAGAGATCAATAAAGAAGGAGAGACAACGTTGAGAGAATGCACCAATAGAAATACAGAGGCAGAGAATGAAAGCTGGGCAAAAAAGGCAGGAGAGAAGAAGGACAGGAGGGGAGAGAGGGGTTGGGCACGACAGACAGATCAACTTGAAGGGACACAGGCAGAATAGAAAGGGCCTCTGGCAGCCCTCATGTGGCAGCCTCTAGGGGTCCCCGGCAGTGCTGATGACGTGGAAAAGGGTGACATTGTAGAGCACCTGGTGGCCGTTGTTCCAGGTGTAGAGGGCCCGCTCCCGGGGGTTGTAATCCAGCATGGAGATGTGGGAGTACTGATTGTGGAAGGGCACGTCCGTGTACTCGTAGCTAGACGTGTTGGTGAAGTAAGCGAAGTAGACCTTGGCACCAGCCAGGTGAGAGTTGGTCACGTAGAGCACGCCACAGATCATGAAGGCCTCGCCAGCGCTCCGTTTGGGGTAGCCGGTGTCCCAGGACCGCATGACCTCAAGGGTGTGTGGGTCCAGCCGGCTGACCACAATGTTGCCTGCATTCTGGTTGGTGGTGTACACGGCCCAGAGCCCACTCTCATCCACCATGAAGTCCATGTCGGAGAAGCCGCCCCAAGAATAGGGGAAGGTGTTGTTGTAACCAGCCCCCGGGAGGCTCCTCTGCACCATCACAGAGCGTGAGCGGAAGTGGTACTTGACCACCACGTTGCTCTGGTACTTGTTGTAGAACAGGGAGCCGTTGTACACCACATGACCTGTGCCTGCCCATGGCTGGGGCAGCAGGTGCTGGATAAAGTTCTGGCCTTTGATGAAGTCTCCCAGGGTGCGGAACTCGAGGACGCGCCGGCCCTTGTAATAGCCATCCATGTACCAGACCTAGGAAAGAGCTACTAGTCACTGGGGGACCACTGCTAACGATCCAAAGGCTCCAGCAACCACCCAGGAATCAACCATGGTCATTAGGGCTCAACAGTCACTAAGTGGTCACTAGTCAGTCATGGAATGACCAGTGACCGACCAACCGCTCATGACCAATCATAGTCCCAGTGACTGGGATCATTTGGTCAGGGAGTGCCATTGGTCTTAATACACACTAAGTGGATAGTGCTTGATCCCCAAGGCTCAGAGTAAATTGCAATCCCTGGGGACTCACTGGACCTGGGAATTCACTGATCATTGGCTACTGGATGATTAGTGGTCATTGGACAGCCACTGGGTGATGAGAGGTCACTTGAATTCATTGCCCATGGTAACCCCCGTAACCACAAGATGACCAAGCTCATAATCAGCATCTTCTCCATCATCATCACTCATCGTCACCATGTTCATTAGCACTTGTGAGTGCGTTTACTAGGGCTGGTTATTGGGCAAAGCATGTTAAAAATTTAATGCCAACATTACCACAACCTTTTTGAAGATAAGGAAATTGAGTCTCTGAGACATTAAGGAACCTTGGACAGATAAGAATTGGAACTGAGGTGCAAATCCAAGTCTGGTTTCCAAACCCAAGCTCTTAGCCACCTGGTTGAACCACCATAATCCCTGGGAGGCCAATGATCATGGCGAGGATATCAGTCACTACCACAGTCACTGGGCAGTTAATGGATGGTTCCTGTGAGTCAGAGGTGATGGGCAATTGTGAACATGGAGGCCACTGGAAGTCCAAAGGTCATTGAGTGGTGCTGTGGTGGGGGAGTCTCTAGTCCTTGTGAAGGCACTGGTTATTATGTAGTAACTTGGAAGTCAGTGGTCATTGGGAGCTGATCAGTAGTACTAGTAACCGTTAGTCTCTATACAGACATCGGAGTCAACAGACTTGGAGATTCACAGGGCTGGAAGGTCCTTGGTCACCTTGGGGTCACTAGACAGTCAAGGGGAGGTCCAAGGGCCCTGGAGATCCCAAGATACTTTGAGCTACGAGAGAATCATTGGTGTGAAGTCACAGGGCACCTATGGGCAGCCACAGGCTATGTCCCTCCCAGGCTCTGACCCCTGGGATGGGCACAGTCACTCACCCGGCTATCCGCACTGGGGGCCATTGTGTCGGTCATCCAGGAGCCAAAGCGGGACCCCATGGCCCGAATGGTGATGGGGTTACTGACCCCGGTCAGCTTTCCACAGCCTGGGAGGCAGGAACAGGGGGAATAAAGGGATGGGAGGTGGGAAGAGCCCAAGGGAGGCAGGGCAAGGATAAGGTGGGACTGAGAAGAGTTGGGACCAGAGGTGAGAGAGGATCCAGAGATCTGGTTCCAAGATGGAGTTAAGTTGGGGGTGAGGGACTGGAAGTCAAAGGTCAGGGCCATTTCCAGCATTGGGTCTATTTTTGGCCTTGGGTAGGGAGGTCAAGAGTCAAGGTTTAGAAGTTAGAGGTCAACTGAAACGTTTTTGCACAGCAAAGGAAACCATCAACAAAATGAAAAGACAATCTACTGAATGGGAGAAGATATTCACCAATGACGAGTTAGGGTCAACACCGTGTCTAGCTTCTGCACACACAGGTGGTATTGGGGTTGCGCATGGAAGTCAGGGGTCAGGGGTCAAGGTCAAGGGTCAAGACATACCCAACTTCTGGGCACAGGCATGGAGCCGGGCCTCCAGAGCCATTACTCGCTGCTGCAGATCCTCATACCCGTAGGCGCCCATCTCCTCCTGGATGGTTGCAAGGCTGCTGGACAGATTTCTCACTTCTTCCCTCAGGCGCACAATGGTCCGCGTGTCCGCCTTATACTGCTCCAGAACTGAGCTCAGAGGCAACAGCTCTGTCATCCTGTCCTTCAACTCCTGCCCACCAAGATGGAATTGTCACCTACCCTATTTCTGACGTTTGACCCAGACATAACCCCAACCTTTGACCCATAACCTCACCCCCACTTTTTTTTTTAACTTCACCCCTTTGATGCACATATGACCCTTGACATTTGGCCTATACTGGATCTAGATCTCAGCCAACCATCAGTCTTCATGGATGTGAGCCCACTCTCGGAACTAACGGGCACCACTCCCTGTTCTTCCCTTGACCTCTGACCTGAACCCAGAAGGACCCACCTGGAAGCTCTTGGCTGACAGGGACCCATCGGCTGCCCGGAGCCGCGCATCCAGGCTCCGCATGAGGGTCTCCATGCCGCGCACGTACTGGAGGTCGCGGTACGTCCGCAACTCAAGGACCTCCATGGACTGGGAGACATTCTGGACCTAGGAAATGGGAGGGTTAGAGAGAGCCAGACTCCTGCCCCGGAGATGCCACAGACAAGACCTGGCAAGTACCCAACCAACCTTCTCCTCCTCTGACCTTACTAGCAGCCTCCCAATGCCCAATGCATCTAATGACCCCACCTGGAATAGATACAATCACCTCTCGCCTCTCTCCCTTTCTCCTTGGCCTCCTGGTCCCACCCTAGACCCCAACAGTCAGTTCTCCACACAGACGTCAGAGGGGAGCTTTTCAAAAGGAAGATTGGATCACCTCCTTCTCCTGTAGACCCTGCGGGCTGGTCCTGCCCACTCACCTACCTCCTTCACATTCATCCACTCCAACCACAAGCTCCCTTTGCTCTCACAGACTCTAAGCTCCTTCCCTCCTCAGTGACTTTGCAGTTGCTGATCCCTCTATCTGGAGCACTGTTCCCCTCATCTTCCCACAGCTGGCTCCTTCTCGTCCTTCAGGTCTCAACTCCAGCATCACCTCCTCCCAGTGGCCTTCCCTGACCATCCTGTCTCAAGTAGCTGCTCACCCACTCTCCCCTTACCCAGCTGTTATCTTCCCAGCTATGACTATTATCTGGAACAGTCTTATTCATCTGCCTCCTTCAGGTGGGATCCTCAGAGACAGACCCAGAACCTAGCACGTCCACAGCTGAATCCCCAGTGCCCAGCATTGGTCCAAAGCAATTGCTTAATATTTTTCAGCTAAACGAGTAAACGGAAATTCCCTAGCTTTGGCCTAACCCAGACTGAAGGCCCCCTAGCTCCCACCTCCACCTGGGTAAAGTGAGCTGCACCCACCTGGCCAAGGTGAGACCCCTTCGGCTAAGGTGAACTCAAAGACAACACGGGATGCTTGTTGAAATACACACTTTCCACACGACACTTGGAAGTTCTCAGAAACCCAATAGCCTGATACCCACCCTGGCCACCACAGAATATTTTATAGTCATTGTCCACAATCAGGGGACATCATACGGATGTCCTAAACTATTGAGGAAGGCAGTTCTGGTGTTGTGGGTAGGGCCGGATCCTGCAGAGTTAATGGGTGGGAGACTCCTGTGCTGAGAAGCGTCTCTTCTCTTCTCTTCTAAGCCTCCGCTTCCTCCTTTATAGCATGATGGTGGGAAGTAGCTGGTCCCTTTCAACACCAACATCAGAGCTGTCTAATGGGCATCAGATGGGCAGTGGCAAGGGACAGCCATCGGTCCATCAAGGGCACCAAGACATCCTTGGGGATGGATTCAATGGGGGCCATTTTCTATTGGACACAATCAGAAAGGGAAAGAATCTTTATATGAACCTCTTGGAATGAGGGAGCAACCCCTCTCTCCAACGGACATAAAACACTTTCTTAGCAGGTGAGTCTGGCAAACTAAAGAGCTGCGTGGGGCGCGTGCACAGTGGGGCTGGAGCTCACACACGCAGGCGACACAGTGCTGTCACTGGGGCCCTCTTCCCTCCAGGTCTCCACACGGCATGCAGCTTCTTCTCCAAAGACGCGCTGGACAGATATTAACTAAAATACCCACCTAGAGGGAAGGCAGGTTATCTGGTAGCTCTGAATAACCCGGGGCTAGATGTGGCCCCAGATGACCTGAATGAGGGCAGTGGGCAGGGTGGAAACTGGGAGATTTCTCCGGCTTCCCCAAGGAATCTAGAAGGTTCTTACCTTCTCCATCAGCTGACGCAGCTCCCGACTCCTGCCATCGCGGGAGCAGGTGCTCTGTGCGGGGATCACTGCTGTGCAGATGCATTTCCCGTCAGGGGCCTGGGCTGAGGTGTACAGCTGCCAGCCTTCCTCTGGGCTTTGGAAGAGGGTCTGTGGGGAGGTCAGGGGTCAGAGAACGAGAACCCAACGGGGGGGCTCACCTACCCACACTGGGGGAGAAAGGGAACCCAGGAAAACAACAGATGCCCTTGGCTGGACTCCTGGGATATGCTGGACCATGTGCTGAGTGCCCGATGCATGGAACTCCATTTTACAGATGACAAGATGGGGTAGGAAAGGTTAAGGAACTCGGCAAGGTTGGGCTGGCCGAGTGGCTCAGTTGGTTAACAGCTCGCTCAAGAGTGCAAGCTCTGAGCAACAGGGTCGCCAGTTCGATTCCCGGCCCGAGCTGAGCTGCCAACAGGTGGCAGGATGGCTCAGCTAAAATTAAAAAAAAAAAAAAGTGAAAAGGAACTCGGCAAGGAATTGTGGGATTCGAGCCCTTCCACAGGACAGAAATTTACTCTCTCACACACATTCGCCCACATGCAACACTGCCTCCATAAACACCATTAGAAATAGACCTGCTCAGACTGACACCAAAACCTGGACCTCCCTCTCTGCTTCCCCAGTCCAGGGTGACACATAAGCTCTGGATATATCTTGGTCCATTAAGCACAACCCTGTTGCTGACCCCTCCTCACCACCGCCCCTGCTCCTGAGAAGCCCAGGCAAGTTAATGGCCAAAGGGTGACAATCCTCACAGAGACTTCCAGGCCTGTGAATAGAAGGCATTACCTTCAGATTCCTCCTAAATTAAATTTCAAGTCAGTTTATATCACTCAGAGAACTCAGGGATCATTCATAGATGTTTCCTAAGCCATGCTCCTTGGAACGCTGGTGCTCTTACCAGGTGTGCTGGGAAACGGGTCCTCTGTGGTGAAATAGGTGTATGCATTGTTCAAAAAGCACAGACTGCCACTGGATGGAACATGCCGGGTCCCCAGATCAGGCCCCCCTTACCTTCCCCAGGACATACTGGACTTAGCCACAAGTCCCAATCTTTTTGTTTTTATCAGGGCATGATGGTCTCATTTGTTCAACAAGTTATTTGTTAAGCTTCTACTGTGTGTCAACCTCTATTCTGGATATTGAAAACACAGCAGTGAATAAAACACACAAACACAAAAGCTCTTCTAGGAGCTTACATTAGAGAGATACAGTTAAACCAATAAGTAAACATCAAGTATTTAAAGAGCGATGAGTGCTATAAAGAGAAGTAATGCAGGGAAGAAATGATGGGGGCACTGGGATTGGAGGTGGTTAGGGGTTGCGATTTTAGGGTGGCCTGAGAAAGCCTCCATGAAAAGATGCATTTGAGTCAAGACCTGGAGGAGGTGAGGGAGAAGCCATGTGATACCTGGGGAAGGATGTTCCAGGCAGAGAGAACAGAAGGTACGAAGGCCCTGAGGCAGGATCATACCTGGCATGTTTGGAAAACAACTAGGAGGCTGGTGTGGCTTGGGCAGAGTGAACACACGGGTTATCGGCGGGGAGCAGGGAGGAGGGAGATGAGGGCAGGAAGGGGACAGGGCAGCACAGGGCCTGCAGGCAGTGGGGAGTATTTGGTATTTGCTCTGAGTGAGGGGCGCGCCATGGAGGGTTCTAAACAGAGGATGGACATGACCTGACTCAAATGTTCACAGGCGCCCTCTGGCGGCTGTGGGGAGAACAGACTGCGGGGAGGGGTGTGGGGAATGGGAGGTTAGGAGACCAGGGCAGAGGTGACTGACTGCATGTCCAGGCAAGCAATGATGGGTGGTGACCATAGAGGTGGGAAGTGAAAGGTTCTGGTCCTATCCAGGATGCACTCCTATAGGCAGGGAAGCAATTCTGATAAAACCCCAAATGTTTTAAAGGGGAAACAAAACCCCACAATAATTGATCATTTGCAAGCCATTAACTGATGGCCCAACAGAGGCTGTTCCCATGAATGGTAGCAGAGATAAGCCAGGCTGTGAGTAACGCACAACCCCTGAGTCTCCAGTTATTATAAGTCCACCTTTTTCTCTCCTACTCAATAAAGTCCTTTTTAAGCTTATTAGAATGTGAGCGAGTGATATAATTGTACAGATGAGCTTGACTCTTCACTAATTTATAAGAAAAATAAACCATTCATAAACGCCACCTGACATGATGGTAATTAGTTATTCTTTGTGCCTTATGTGTACCCTTCCAAAGTTGGGGGAACCCCCTCTTTATGAGTCCACGTGTCCCCTGTGGAGGAATAAAGTCATGCGCCTTCTCAGCCTTCCTTGCATGCAGGTATGATTTAAGCCAGCCTTGCCACAGAATTGCTCAGGATCCCCCATGCCAAGGGCTTCCTCTGGTGGTCCCATCCCACCTGCCTTTGACTAGGAGGCAGAAGGCCCTCCCACCTGCAGTCCCTCCCACCCACGCCTCATAGGACTTAGGGATAAATACCAGCCCTCTCGGTTCTCCATGCGATGCATGCAGCGTCCCAGGGGAGCCCATTAGGACCTGTGCTCCAGGGACCCATATTCATGAGTTCACCCTGCATGGGTTTCCTTCGCTTCCCATCTCACTCGTTCCTCTTAGGATCACCTCACAGGTGAATGAAATATTTGCACTCAACTTCTCTCCTCCAGCTCTGCTTCTGAGGGAGCCTGACCCAAGACAAGAGGTGTGACCCAAGAAAGCTTCCCCTTAATCCTCAGTAGCCAGTCATGCCAGGCTGGCTGCCCCTGGGATCCTGGAGCCAGCCCTCAGCCCTGGAAGGACCAGGAATTGTTTTTAAGCCAAGATGTAGGTGGTTTAGGAGAACATAGAACAAGCTTTGCCTCCTTTCATGAGAAATCCAGTTTTTAAAACAAAACAAAAAAACAACAACAATGAACGTGAATCCAAGCATCCCCATCTATGTCCCCCTGGCTCTGATCCTCAAGCAATTTGGACAGAACCCCTTGAAAATTCTCATTTGTGCAGAGACAAAGCAGCTCAGTCCAACATAATTATCATCTCCTTCCTACATTTCCTAGCCTGTCCTTTGAAGCAAACAATCCACTTTCTCTCAACAATTGAAATATTGAATTGCAAAAGAGAAGGAAGATTTAAGTGGCAAGGAGAGGTGGCCTCCACGGCTTTCCTAAAATAATTGTCTGCGTTGGACACACCTTGCCAGAGTGCTCTCTGCAGCAGTGTAATCAAATGCCTGGGGTTTGGCTGCCAACACTCAGCACATCAGAGAGCCTGAATTTTGCCTGTCGTTGTTGGGTTCAAGATCAAATACACAGGCAAGTTCATGTCGCCCAGAGACTGCTGGAATGTCTTGGAAGTCTCAATGTTTGAGAGTCCAAATGCCTGCTCTCCCACACTGGGTTTAGCTTGGAACCAAAGTCATGAACCCTTGGAGATCATAGCCTTAGGGACAGAGGATGGTCTATCTACACTAAGGGAAATGCTGTAACAGCAGGTGTGAGGGCCCAGGGGCAATCTGGGTGCAGACACCTCGGATGGCGTGGTCTGTCTCACCTCAGACTTGGCAAATGTGCCAGAGAAGCCAGCCGCTCTCTTGTCTCAGCTGCTGGTTCCGAGTTTAATATTCCTGCTAATGGGCTCTAAGAGGGTAAGCTATGCATTCAGAGGCTGCTCCTCAAATTGTCTTTCTGGCTGAGATTTTTTTCAAATACTTTTGCTGAGGCTGCTTCCCCAATTAAGCCGATGTCTCTGTAACAGATCAGGGTTGATGGTGTATGAGAAATGCAGGGAGTTTTTCTTGCTGTCACACCTGAGGTCATCATCTCAGCGTACAGCTCCGCCACCTACGTCTTGGTTTAGAAACAATTCCTGTTCCTTCCAGGGCTGAGGGCTGGTTCCAGGATCCCGGGGGCAGCCAGCCTGACATCACTGGCTACCAGGGATTAGCCCACAGGAACAGAGCAAGTGGCTGCCTCTTAATAAGACAAGGATATTATTGTGTTTGAGGCTGGACAATTTAATCAGGAAGCAGAAGTGGCTTGGGGTTTATGTATTTATTTGTACCCTGCCTTGTTCCGGAGAGGATTCCAAGTGGTTTACACACGATAGCTCCAGTTAAATAGGACAGTCAGAATTAGATGTTTCTGGAGGGCAGTCTGCCAATCCAGAGCCAAAGTTTTAAGGTTTCTGCATTTGCATGTAACCCAGCCAATCCGAGTCTAGGAATTTAGTTCAGGGAAATCGAGTGGACAATTGCTACAAGGATGCTCATTAAAGCACTGCTTAAAATTGGACAACTGGAATTTTTCCTCATGTTGTCTGACAAGAGGGGCATTGATTTCAAAACTTAAAGTGCATCCACAGGAGGGAATACTATTCAGCAATTAGATCTAGGGATTAGTGGGGATTTTTATGGCCGCCTTAAAATAAAATAAAAAAGTATCTTATTTTCTAAGTTTTCTACAGCAAATGCATATTGGTCTTATAAAAAACAATTTTTAAGTCCCTTTTTGTAAAGGAGAAAAGGAAGAAAAGTGGGGACACAGACAGAACCAGAAATGAGACTGAGAAAAATTCATCCCTTAAAAACCCGAACAACCAGCATATGGTTGGGCCATAAATTTGGCTCCAAGCTCCTTAGCAGTCAACTCAAAAAGGGAAAGCTGGCCATTTATGCAGTTCTCAGTGTCCTGAAACAAAGCACGCCAGATGCTCAGGAGAAAGCTTACGTATTTTTGGTCCCAAGAACAGGCAAGGATCTCTCCCACGGTCCTCCCAAAAAGGAATGAATCTGTGTGATGTCACCAGCATCTTTCCAAACAACATCCTTACGACAGAAACAACTCATTCTTCTGAGTGTCTCTTGTTCTCGCTCGGATGGTAAAGGAGAGCCAGGTGGTTAAAAGCAGTGTCCTGGGGTCAGGCTGCCTGGGTTTATGTCCTGGTTCAGCCACTCACTGGCTGTGGGACCTGGCAAGTCAGTTAACCTCTCTGTGCTGCCATCTCTCCATTTGTAAAATGGACCTAACTGTACCTACCTCACAGGGTTTCTGGGAAGCTTGGATGTGTTAATACTATATATATGAGCAATCAGAACAGTCATCAGCATGTAG